TTAAATATGTACTCCGTAATTTTTATTTCTTATCGATATACCAATTTGTAAGTAAAATGATTTCAAAAAATGAAATATTTCTTCTCGTAAACCCCAATTTATAATCAAATTGGGAACGAAGAGAGTATCAAATTTAAAATTTGCTTAAAAAGATATCCTATTTGTATATTTTGGAATAAATGGTTGGATATTGGTTAGATATCGGATAAATTTGTATTCAATTCTAATTTTTTTGAATTCAAATTGAAGTATGAGTATATGGATACTTTTAATAGTCATATTCAATTACAATTTGGCCATATTTTTCTTATCTTTGTACTAAGAAGTACATTTTTTCTATATTAGATCTATATTTTCAAAAGAAATTTCATGCTACACACATTTGTATGTCCCTACATGTGTATATTACATATGGAAAGAGCTGGTAAATCGATCGGTCCAGTCGGGTTCAAGTTTGATTATTTTAAATTCGGTTATTTTAAATTTGGGTCGATTCGGGTTCAAAATTGTATATTCATGATCCAGTGTCATTGGATTCAGGTCAAACTAACGGGTTATGATTTTGATTTTTAAAATTTTTATATTCATATTTATACTTTTATTTCGCATTAAATAAAATTAAAATATCAAAAAATATGTATTCAATTTATTATTTTATTTTATTTTAAATTCTGAAATAATTTTGTTTTAAAAAAATCAGTTCAACGATTTAAAAAATGCATAATTTCTAGAAAAAGTAAGATAATTACAATATTATTAAAATTTTGTCCAAAAAATATGAACTTATAGTCTAAAAATGAGTAGTAAGAAAAATATATGTAATTATAATATTATTTTTATAACATTCAATTTCACTAGAGAGCATATCATTTTGAAAGACTCTTACATTATCAGTTCGATCAGGTCGGGTTCGGATCCGATATTTCTAGTGCTCTAATTTGGGACAAAAAGAGTAGTGGAGTGTTGGACAACCGCTTAAAAAGCACGTGAATGAAGGCTTGTGGGTGTTTGGGCCACACTGTCAATCGGCCTTTGTGTGTGTTTTTTCAATGGGCCCTCTGTCAGAGACAGTACACACTGGCCCATAAGAAATGCACAAAATTGTGTCCTCCAGCTGATAGGGACATCCAAACGTCCCTTTTCCATTCATTTGGTTGGGGGCCCAACTCAAGGATTCCTAGGGGGCCCACCTTGCTTTCTTACCACCATCATTATCAATTTCACTAGTGTGGAAATGTTTTAAAAATAAAATAACCATTTTATAGAAAACAAATTCATTAAATTTGGCAATGAGTTAATCGATTTCGGTTCTATTTCAAGTTCAATATGTTACTCCGTATAACCATGTCGGACTTTGTTCTTTTCTGATTCATACTTAATTTGGACTTTTATATTTTTTTTGTTCTAATCGGTTACGATTCATATGTATCACCTCCCTCCCAAAAAGTTATCTCACTTATTTACTTTTTGAATAAAGTAAAGTATATGTGGTCTGGATTTTTCCCCTTTTAAACGCATTTCAACAACTCGCTTTAGTTTTTTCAACATTTTTCTTAAACTTCGAAGTTAGACTCAGACAAAAAATACAGGGCATAAGCAATAATAGATTCTAGTGCGGTGCATATCAATTCGAGAAAATATTAGTTCGGGTTTAAAACAATTGAGTTGGTTTTATTTTGGATAAATTTCGGTGATAATAAACAAATTATTCTATCTTAAAAGTTAAAAAACATTAAAGAAAAAGTAACGCACGAATTCATCATTGGGATTGCAAAAACATTACTATGATGGAGTACATCCTTAGGCTAGAATTAGAGTGAAAGTACATTTGGTCCATAATGTCATTTATAATTTCGAAATATCATTGGATCCCTTTTATAATGACACTAGAGGGTCATAATGTACATGGGCAAATTGAGGTCCTACAATATTGTATTCGTAAAATTAATGATTCATACTATCTTTTGGTCTTCAGAGAACAATGAAAAAACTATGTTGGAGAATGGGAAATAAATGGAGTTAAACTTTTAATCAAACAAATTAAAAGTGAATTCCGACTTCAATATCCGTGGCGGATCCAAGGAACCGAGTTGTTGGGGGCTGATGATCAAAATAACACGGGGTTGGGGGCAGCGCTTCGGGAGATTTTTTATATTTACATAATTTAAAACAGTAAAAAAATAGATTTAATTTCTCATAAATTTTTACTACAAAAAGTCTAAATTGAACAAATATTTTGGAACAGAAATAGTGTTTCATTTCACATTTCTTATTTGTCATCTAAAATGTATACCCTATGGGTTTTCGAGGAAAAAATAAAAATTTGTTTGGTGATTATTGGTGAGGGGGGCATGTGAATACATTAAAATAGAGGTTAACATTTTTCCATGAGCCCAAAAAGGAAGAGAACAAGTTGAAAGTATAAAGGGAGGGATGATAAGGCAAAAGAGGCAGCTTTCCAACCGCAACAATTTAAGATCTGTGAATCCAATCGTGTCGCACGCCTTTTAAGAACAACTCATTTTTAATATTCTCATGTCGATCAGATACTTTTTCCTCGGTGGACGTTACGCAGTTAGCAAGGTAAAACATATTATAGGGGTAAAATTCGAGCCCGGTTTCTAGTTTTTGCGCTAAAAAGACAAATACTCCCTCCGTCCCATTTTATAACATCTGTTTCGGTTTATAATGTTTGACTGAAATGATTTTCAAATCGTTTTATATGACAAATGGTATATAATTAAAAACTAAAAATTACATATTAAAATACTATATCAAAAGATCTACAAAACTAGTAGTGACGATAGTACTTTATTTTATCAAATTGCTAACGAAAATAGTGAAAGAAAGTGAATGAAGTTTGACCATGTGAATAGTGAACATGTATTATAATTTGGGACGAAGGGAGTGCATTAAACATAAAGTTTCTGCAACTTTCGGGTATATGTTCTTTTATTTGTCACTAATCTGTGATTAAAATCCAATTTATATCTTTTCTAGTGATCGAACGACCGATACTGGGGACTCTGAAGATGGGGTTCATCCTTTTTTCTTAAGAATGCATTTTTTAGTATTTATTTTTGGTAGGGTTAGATAAAAATTTGTGGGCCAAATGGTTCATCAATGGAACTATGGAAGTGCACATGTCAAGTTAAAGTGTTAAACAAACTAAACTCAACAAATCCCGAAATAAGATTATGGTTCCTTGTTCCAAAAGTCAATTAAATCTTTTTTCCATATAATCGTTTATATTTTTATTCATCGTTTGATAAAATAAAATGAGCAAATCACATCTTATTTATTTGATTTTTTATTTAATTTTTAAATTTACTCCGTATTTTGCACAGAATAACAAAAATTGTTTTTAAATTTTACATTACCTTTAAAATAAATTGCATTCAAAAAAATCAAATATCACAAATCACAATGGAAATCATACACTAACAAGAACTCAAGGTCACACAGTACAACTAATCAAATGGCAAAAGTCACCGGATTTTCCCAAACTCTAAACAAAGTGCACCAAATACTACTGAATAATTAAAAATGTTGCACGATTGGTCCTTTAAAAAAACAAAAAAAACTAATATTAAAACTAAGTGTAAAGACTAAAATGCCCCCCCATCTCTCTCGTATACTCCCGTTGGAAACCTCAGTCTCCGTGGGGTTTCCAGTTGACGACCCGTCGTCTCTTTTAACTACTTAAAACCCATTCCAAAATAATAGTGATATTTTTTCAATGTGGCATGGCCGTATGGGCAATGTTGGGTATACATTTAGTACAAAACAATCCCCTGGTCCATACCATTTCAAAACATTGGGGTAAGGGCATTTACATCCATGCCAAATGCGTCGTGCCGCACGGTACGGAATCCCATGGAGAAATTGGCTCGCCCGCCGCTGCAACTCATCCGGCGCGCCGCATGCCGGGCTCCCCGCCCTAATCGCGGCACAGCTTTTGCGGATGAAATCGCGGCGGCCACCCATTGCAGGCGGTCCGCTGCGCTGGAATTTTTTTATTTTTTTTTATTTTTCTTTCATCCCTATGAATTCAACAAATCTTCGCCTTATTTCTCTTCATCTCTCAAAAAATGGATTTTCCTCCGACAGATTATGAGGTCGTGTATTTTATCTTTTATATCGATGTTGTTTTTAATAAAGAATGTCAATCTTAGCATTTTTATTTTAACTATTTGTATTTGATGTTTTCAAAAAAAAGTTATGATTAAAAATGATGAATAATGTAAAAAAAGGAGAGGCAAGTTTTCAGGATAATATCATTACAGGATTTTGGGACAGGGTAGAAAAGTTATTAAAATGCTAATGTGGCAGGAGTCGAAGGAGGGCGGATTTGTTATTGTTGTAAATGCTCTAAGCACTCCAACCGCATTGTATTACTTTAAATCTTTAATAATGACTTGCAAAAACATTGCTTTTTAAAGTATCTTTGCAAACTTTTAAGCAAGTTGTACTACTCAACAAAATATGTCATCTATTTGTGTGGGGTGCAAAGTGGTATATTACTCTTGTTTTACAGAAGGCAAAAGCCCTTATCTATGGGCATCATGTGAGGTTTTCCATGGCATTCATCACCTTCCAAGAACAACAATGACCCCTAAAAGTACTAGGCATTCAATAAAAATAGACAAAACATTACAACCCTACAAGGTAAGAAGTAATAAATCAAGCGAACAAATTAAAATAACAATCAATCGAAGCATGTTGGCGTAGTGGCAAGGAAACCAATAAGGCTTCTCCACATCCAAGGTTCGAGCTTCACCCAGCGTTTAAGAGATAGAGATCATAAGATTGAACAAATACTACTCTGGGAGGTACTAAACAAACGATTACATTCCGCAACATCTTCCAAATTATGGTAGCTAAAGATGAAGTGTGCAAGGCAACTTGAACAGAGAATTTTGAAGGCTATTTGAGAAAGTGCTACACTCTATATGTTGATCATTAGAATGCCTCATAAAAGAAAATAAGATATTGGAATGTTAAACAATCACATTTTATGTCAACCTTACAAAATTTTCTAAAAATATCTCAAAATACACATCAAGATATAAATACTCAACCCTCCCAAACCCTCAAATCACCTCCATCCCAACTCAATAACCAACCCTTAATAAGACAACAACAAAGTTCAGATGAATACCCAAAACTCCAATGCAAGAACACGTCAAACCGTAGCAATGCGCCTATAAACAGCTTGAAAGGTCTCCCCGCCATTCCGGGCAACCTTCTGACCTTCCTCAGTTGCAGTAATCAGTAGCTTGACAGCGGGATCGCCTTCAAGCTCTTCACAAGAAAGAGCTTCAAACAATGGGTGATCTTCCAAACAAGACTTCATCCACTCCCCCAGCTCCTCCACGTCCGTGACGGTATAGATCACACCCCCAACAGCAAGAGCATAAGCATACTCATCCAACAAATTAGGGCTAATCACTCGCCGCCTATGGTTCTTCTCCTTAAAGTGTGGGTCAGGGAACAAGAAGAACATCTTCCTAAGCTGCCCTTTTTCAAAGAAATTCGGAATGTACTTCATCGAATTCGTTCTTACGACCGAAATGTTCCCGAATTGCCCCGGATTATTAGCCCTCAACGCGACAATCCGCTCCTTCACATACTCTGTCACCTTGTCCCTCAATTCCATCCCAATCATTAGGGTTTGGGGAAAGAGGGGCGAAAGGGAAATCAAAAGGCCGCCAAATCCACACCCTACATCTGCAAATTCGATCTTTTTCGAGTTCCCAGCAGATAATACTGGATAATGAGATGCATAATCAACTTGAGAGGGGCAAATTGGGACAGGGAAATGTGAATCGCTCAGAGGATTGCTATGAGCCCTGGCTCGGTAAAAGCGCTTACGAGGCAGTCCTGTTCTCTTGCTTAGAGTGGAAATGGCTTCGCCGGCAGACATATTTTTCCTAACCACAGGCAAATAAATATGCAATTGAAAGGTGTATAAGTCGCGCACAGTGCAAACCTTTGGAGAAATCGAAGGAGGAGATGCCCGCCGGACGGAGTAATGGCGTCGGCGACTAGAGAGAAGGTCGGGTCCGAAACGGAGCGGCGCGCTTGACTTCGGGTCTTCTGAGAGATTTAGGGTTCAGCTCGTTTCTAAAGATTGTTATGGCCTCGGACTCTATGGACGTGGTGGGTATGGTAAGTGTATTCCTGTCGTCTCAAATATTTCGGTTCGATATGTAATTTTACATCGTAGTGATTCCGATCTCAAAGTAACGGTTCGTTGTAATTTAGTTTTGGTTTCAGTGATTATTGGAATGAATATATATACTTATTTAGTTTACACTTTAAAATATACAAAAAAAAACTAAAAAAGAATTGAAAGTACATTCAAATAAAGAAAGATAAAAAATACTCTCTCCGTCCCATAAAACCTTTCTCCTTTCTTTTTTCATCAGTCCCGTAAAACACTTCTCATATCTATTAAAAAGTCACTTTTACCCCTTACTTTTTCATACCCTACCTATCACATCATACTTTTTTACTAATAATCTACTCATCAAATCTTACTTTTACCCATCGCATCAAAGGACATTTTTGGAAATTCAATACCAAAATATACTCCCTTAAATCTCTTAAAAAAGCAAAGCATCCCATGTTTCATGGGACGGAGGGAGTAAAAAATTTAATAAGTAAATGCAAGAAATACAAAATCAATTTATTTTTAGTTAAGAAATATAAAAAATTGTTATTTTTAGGGAAAAGACTAAAGTAGGAGTAAAACATTGAAAATATACCAAAATAGGACTTCCATATTTTTGATCCTGAAATAAAATTTAAAATGCATTTACATTACCAAACGTGGTTATGTACATTACCAAAAATTATGCTAATGTGCACGAGTATAGTGACACATTACATCTAGATTACTACAGTGTGAACTCTTATTTCGGGATTAAAAACATGGAAGTCTTATTTTGGTACTTTCGCTATATTTTAGTCTTATTTATGATTATTTCTATTATTTTTATAACATATTTGTTTATATGTTTGGTTCAAAGTTTTTCTGTATGGGAAGTTCTCTCGTACCGGTCCCAAACACAAGATTGAAAATTTGGTTCGGTATGGTACAATTCTTTTTTGGAATTTTATCAGTTTGGTATTTTTCAATTTGGTAATCTCGGTTTTTTGAGAAATTTTGAGATCAGTTCAGTACTTGCTCACCGCTACCGGCCGCCCTCGGATAGTAGTGCTTCTCGCTGATTTTCAAGCGGATATCAAGGTATTATTAGGGGTTTAAACGGATGTTAATGGAATGGGATGTCTCATTACTAGATTCGTATCCATTTATTTTTATCGGATATCAAATTCGGATAAGATTCTTGGCCGATGTTAAAAATCAAAATTGTATCTTCATCTATCGCATATCTTTTGTAAATCAGGTATACATAGGAGCAAATAAAAATACTCTAATATATTTATTCAATTAAAAATAGCCACTAAGTAGTGTTTTTCTTATTTTGTAATTTATACCATTCTAATGCTAAAAATACGTATTTGCATGTCTAATTACATAGCACATACTACACATACACACGTATTTGTGCCTCTACACATATATTTTTGATATACATGTGTTTTATACTTTAACATACTAATAGAAAATCAAAATATCTAAAAAAAAAATTGAGAAAAATAATACATCACACATTGGATACACAAATACATGGTTACTCAAACGTCTTCTGGTCGGGACGGGGTGGAGGGATTTACCAGGGGGTTAGGGGGGATAGGAACCGTCAATTTTACGAACGGGACAACGGAGTACCCCCGGGTCATCCCATGACATTGGTTTCCAATGTCATGGAAACCAAAGTGTTGCATTAAAAAGCACTGAAACTTAAGTCATTTTTTAAATAGCACTTAAACTGTTTTATTTCCTAAATAACACTTAATAATGTCCAGTGATGGCAAATATTTACTTGAATAATGACTAATGTATAAAGACTAAAAGTGCTACATTGGGAAGAAAAACACTAGTGGTGCTATTTAGAAAAAGTCATTATGTTTTAATGCTATTTGAGTAAATTCCCCATGAATTATACTCATCGGAGGATGAAACAACACATTCTGTTGTGCTCTCTATAGAATGAGTAGCTCGTGCCAACATATGTACTACCTGATTGGGTAAGGAACGTCAAAAATGAAAACTAAGGTACCTCCCATGGGCAATGTTGGCGATAGAAGAAGGAAGCCAGATCAAAGAAGGAAATTGAATCATTTTGGGTTCAGTTTAGTATCTTTACTAGTTTGCTTAGTTCTTGTTATAGTAGGAATAGAAATATGGTAGGAATAAAAGTTTACTTATATGTTTTACTCTCTTCCTATATAAAGAGGGTTAGACCTTTGTAAGCACAAGTCAATTCAATATACAAACTATATTCTCTCTTCTTAATTTCTACATGGTATCGGAGCAGGTTTTGAATTTTTAAGACCTCAAACACGCTCTATCCCCTGCCGGTAGGCATACACAATAATGCCTACCGGCGGGATATTATAATTTTTTTATTTTCTTTGATTGTTCTCCCTCACTAAAGAATATCATGAACACATTCAACGAAGAACATTGCTGTCAAGGAATCCCGCCCAACCATCAATTTTGAAAAAGTTGTCCAACAAGGGTTGTTCTATAGAGATGGGCAACTCTTTCCTTTGCGGGAGGTAAAAAAAATCGGCGTTCAGGGTGTTCGAAAAGAATGGTGTTCCCCCTGTTTGTTCGTAAACGGTGAAGGTTCGAAAAGAATGACGTTCCTTTACTCGACTGATTATTCGGCGGATTCGAAAAGCTTGGCGTCTCCGTTGAAAAAAAACTGAAGTGTCTGCATGACACTTGGACAATGATGGCAGCGGCTTCCTCGAGCTTTGTTCGATCTTTTGATGTCCAAGCTGGGCATGTTCAACTCCATGCTCCAGCTTGAGGGGGGGTGTTGGCGACAGAAGAAGGAAGCCGTATCAAAGAAGGAAATTGAATCCCTTTGGGATTCAGTTTAGTATCTTTACTAGTTTGCTTAGTTCTTGTTATAGTAGGAATAGAAATATGATAGGAATAAAAGTTTACTTATATGTTTTACTCTCTTCCTATATAAAGAGGGTTAGACCTTTGTAAGCACAAGCCAATTCAATATACAGAAATATTTTCCCTCTTGTTAATTTTTACAGGCAACGTTTCCATGACATTGGTTCCAATGTCTTAAGAACCTTGTGATCTCCCATACATGGTACAAAGATATTCACAATCATCAATAATATAATTTAAAAAAACAATAGCTAACAAGGTGGTCGACGATCGACCTCCTTGCAATTAGATTCTACTATGACACGAGTCCATCCTTTTACATTGGTGAATAATTTGTACAACAAAGATTTCACGCCACAAGATTTCACTTGAATTAACTTGGAAAAATTGGTGAATAATTTGTACAACAAAGATTTCACTTGAATTAACTTGGAAAAATTATTAGAAATTTATTTTATTATATTAATCTAATGTAAATTCGATATAATAATATTAGCTAAAATTCATTCAGTTTGACTTAAAACATTCCAAATGAACAAATATTCTATGACGGAGGAGGCAATATGATTTGGGTATAATTGGAACACTTACTCGAATTAATTATCATAAGGTATGTATAAAAGATATTTTCACAACAAAATTATGAAAGATTATCATGTCATTTTAAATTGTTGCTTAAGTGGATTTGTTAATAATAAAACATTACACCTCACTGAAACAATACCTTTTTAGGCCAAAAACAACGAATTGAAGATCACACTGCATGGAATTATAATCTGAAAGCCAATTAAATGCCACCTAAAATTAGGTTCAAATTGCAACAAGTTGCACTCTTATAAAGTCTTAAGCACCTCAAATTTAAAGGGTGCAATAAAATAACAAAAAAAATCTGGAAAGTTATTTCACTTATTTGTCCCCATCGATAGCAACAACATCAAGACTGTGTGTTCTTTAAATGATGTTTTTTCTCTCCCTTAATTTATTTTCCTCTTCCACATTTGTCAATTAAATTAGATAATTATTTTTTGAAACAAAATTAAAAAATTTAATCATCATAAACAGTAAAAGTAATCTGAGTACAGTCTCACAAAATAGAGACGCAGATCATATCGTATTCAACGTTTTTAGATATTTTATAATATATATCTAGTTAAATCATTTATTGCTCATATGTTATGAAATTTTTATTTAATTGATAACAAAATTAAAACATTTATAACTTTAAAAATTAAACTACTCCGTAGATAAAACATTAGAACGAAAATTCCAAAGAAGAAAAGCCACAATGCCACTGTAGCAAATTGACAATTCTAACATAGCTATGGGTTCGGACTTCGGAACTAAGAAGTAGAACAAGTAGAACCCATTTTAAAATCTAATGAGAATCTAATAATATACTCAGTATATATTGTTATAAGAGTAAATTTTTAAAACGATTCTTTCTAATAAATTATTTTTCAAATTAATTCTTAATAAGGAGTAATTATCAATGTAGTCTATTATTGTGATTGAGATATATTTCTTAAATAGCCCTCTGTAAAAATGTTTATTAAATGACAATTAAACAAAGGGTATTTTGATATTTTTTCATCATTTAGATTACGAATAAGTTCTCAAAATGGTTCTTTCAAATTAAATGGGTGACTCATAGAGGATGGACCCACCGTTAGGTAGGCTCATTGACTCCAATTCGGAGAAACATTTGTTTAGAAATTATCAATTTCAAAATATACTTAATTATTGCTTATTGAGGATAACTTTGGAAAAAGACCTTATTATAAAGGATAGTTTTAGAAATTTATTCATAATATAATATGACACTCAAAATCAGTGTAAACCAAAAAAGGACGACGAATCTCGTCCATGAGAGCGCTTCATAGCCGGTCAGATGGTTATCAATTACTCCAATTTGTATTACATATTTCTCCGTAATACAATATAGTAATATTTTGAAAATTCTAAAGAGGATAAATCTAAGCAAAATCATTTTTATACTAATATGTTACTCACTCCGTCCCAAAAAGATTTACACGTTTCAAAAAAATTGCGTCTCACAATCCCTTATCCATTTCCATTAAAAAACCACTTTTACCCCTTACTTTTTCAAACCATACCTATCACATCATA